GCGAGGGGACAGGACCGCTAAATCCATGTTATCGACTTGGCTGCTGCTCGGATTCCCGAGGACAATGGAGAACAAACGGAAAGGTTTGCGCAGCAAGACTTGGGCTCGTGATATAAAAAAGTGTAGAAAAAAACGTCTCCACTCTACCGCACCCCTTAAAAAAAGTCGAAGCTAATATCATGCTATTAATTATTTTGAGTACTTACTTCTTTTTATGACTGAATCCCTTTTTGACCAAGATGCATTAACTGTTCATTACAAAGCAAAATTTAAAAAATAAAGAAGAAATATAAGCGTGCGTTCAAGGTGCATAATTAGTCGCTCATTTCATAAACAATTCTGGGTAAAAGTTGTTTCGATCTGGTAGAGAGAGATTTAGTCCATTTCCGAGATCAATAAAGTCGTAACGATTCTGTTAAAGGGCAAAATAAGTACATTGACCTAAGAATGTGGCCTACATTACGGTTACACGGTCGTGGATTTAAAAACAAAGTATTCACAATCACAAGATCAAAACTAAAGTTTTCATCCAACAATCGCTTTCTCAATGTTTTACGCCCCGGTCGACCCAACTTGAGCATGTAGGAGGCGGGCTCTTCAACCTTGCGTGTCAGTGAAAACCCCAGCAGATGTTTAGTTTTAGTAGAGGTCTTACGGCACTCGCGACTGCATTAGGTCATATGAGCGCCTGGAGATTAGAGGTGTTACAAGAGAGTAACAAACTTAAAAAAGAAGAAGGGTAGATAAGGACGATAGATGTTTGATATGAAAGAAGAAGCAAACCACACTAGAGCGCCTGCCAACCACCCACTCTCCAGCAGAAAGACGGAGATACTGTGTAAATAGATATCCCCAGACAGGACTTGAACTCAAATCTTTTCCGTGCTACTGCTGAGAGTTTGCCCAGAACACAATAGACACCGATTACCAGACAGTGAAACAAGTGAATTGGCATCATGTTAATTTACTTTCGATCTTCCCATTACAACATCATGTCAAAGGGGACAATAAAATATTCGCCTTTCACGATTACAGAAAAAATCGACTGGAGATCCCACTCTTTCATGATTACAGGAAAATCCGACACCCTCATTTTGAGAACGGATATATGGCAGACATCGGCTCCCTGTACCAGTCAGCCACATCAGAACTCCCGGTATTTTCACGTGCTGAGACACATAGATAGAGAAGGCAGAGTGCTCCCCGAAGAAATCCAGCAAATCACCCCCCCCCCCACACACACACACACACACACACACACACACACACACAAACACACACACACACACACACACACACACACACACACACACACCACGCAAAAAACAACGTGACAGTAAAAGGATCATGAACCTATAGCGTTTTCATTTTCACTTCGAGTAACACCGTCATATCGTCGTGGTAACAAACACTCTTTTTAAAATTAAGGATAACTCTCTTCTTATTGTGCACCTGTTCCCAAGTCAAAGGTTAGAACAATACATATCAGCGTATACTATTTAACTAGGCCTAATGCATAATTTCTATCTCTTGAAAACATACGGTAATCCAAGTAAAAGTCGAGTCAAAAACAAAACAAAAAAATAGAAAAAAGATATAGGCCTAGACTAGATCTAGATTCTAGATCTGTGTGGCGCTATTTACTATTTATTCAGTCGTGTTGCAGATCTTTCATTTGGATAATTAAAATTTATTTAGATCTAGATCTAGTGTCCACTGTCCTTCCACCCATTGTGTTTATCTGGTGTGCTGCTACAATGTCTGAGAGCAAAAAGAAATTCTCAAACATCAGTTATACTAGATCTAGATCTAATTGATTTGAAAGAGGGCAGTTTAGCTGCACCTGACAAGTCGCATTATTATGATGACCCATTAGAACAAATGATTACTTTACTCGACAAATGAACTAAACGTAACAGCACCATACTCCGGGCGTAGATCTAGAGATCTAGATCTAATCCCGGTTCATTACGGTTTGACTCTATTTGAAACAAAACTAAGGGCACCGTAGATCTAGAAAGATTTGAACCTATACTCGACTATAAGAGACTGGGAGATTAGTGTTTGGTTGCCCATGGCGAGCGCGCTTTGCAGGGAAGTTTTTAAGTTTTCACTAGATTTGGATCTAGATCTAGATCTAGAAAATCTAGAACTAGATCTAAGCTACTTTGCTTAGTCTACACAGAGGGATAGAAGTAGAAGGCGAATATAGATCTAGTGCGCGGAGTAATTTATGCAAAATTTTGTATTTCACGTGTAAGATATCAGCTTAGCCAGCCTATATTTCACGTGTGAAATATAAGGATACATTTTACCGGAAGTGCAATGCTAATACAGCTCCAAGTATGGTATAAAAGGTCATTACATACAGATTTATGTTCACAAAACAAGTCTTTCTTATGTGAAATTTGTTAATCGCCCGGTTTGTTTGCAAGCCAACTAAACTCTATCTTCCTCTCCACATCTACTTCAAATTAACCCATGAGTCGGGCGGGAACGTCCTCTTCTCCTCCATCCTCATCCTCCTTCTCCTCCTCCTCCATCTTCTTCTTCTTCTTCTTCTTCTTCTTCTTCTTCTTCTTCTTCTTCTTCTTC